TTAACATGATACAAGTGATGGTTATGAAACTTATTTTCTTTCTGTTTTGCACTCACTTCAATCATCAACCTTAAAATAAATATTCATTTTCCACTATGTATCGTATAATGAGAGAATAAGGAAATAAGGTAACAAAAATGATTGAAGACTATGTAATGAAATGTTAGAATGGTAAACGAAGATCTTTGCATCCATCATATATAAAATACACTTTTGTTAAGTTGTCCATTTGGCAAATAAGAATAAGTCACGAGATTATCAATAAATCAATTAGCTTTTGATTGATAATAGAATTGACATTATTTTACTGCTCCCTCACATATATAATTGAAAATGAATCCTAGCCCATGTATAGCGATTTGTCAACTGAAAATGAATCAAATGATGCTAAGTTCGATAGAATTCATTCTAAGACATTTTTTTTCAATGTCCACTATTATCATAATTACAATCATCAGACCTACATTGACTATTAGAAAACCAAGCACATTTTGTAGCTTTGAAGGCTTGTTAGTATGTTCGATTAAAGTAACAATAATTATGTTCAATTGTTTTGTTGATATTCATTCGATAAAAAATATTCTACATTACTCTTCAATTTACAATACGATTAAGATTGAAATCGTACATGTGGCAATTAGTGAAACTTTATTTGAATATATAGTTGTATCAATTAATTTGAAATCAATTAAATTAATCGTTATTTTCTATGGAAAATTATGGTGACCCGACAGTTGAGCTCCCGACACTTGAGCCTTTACTGATTAATTATGAAAGAAATTAAATCACTATACAATAACTTTGTTCAATACAAGTTTAGCAGACAGAAGCATGTAACATTTTCCTATGAGATCGATGAGTCCCTATTATACTCCTCCATAGCCAAATCAGTCATTTGTACGAAAACGAGTAAGGTTTTCAAATTATTTTTATTTTTGTTATCCAGTTTCCATTACTATTCTATCTTTGCGATTTTTTAAAACTGTGTCAATTGTGATATCCGTGAAAACCAAGTACCAACCTCTACTTGATGGGTTTGCGTATCTATAGGGAGTGTAATTATGATCGCAATGGGATGTGGATGTTCTATTCACATACAGCAGTACACAAACTCTGATACCCTTGGTTTTTATTAAGATGACTCGTTCAGCTATAGAGAAATATACTAGCGAGTCATTAATACTGTAGGAATATGGTGTCAGTTTGTGTACACTACAGATGGACACAGAATAGAACAAAACTATAATCTATACCCTATCCTACCGTTCATCAGGACAGAGACAGATAGCAAGTCGGAAAGAAAAATTTGTACTGTGTCCATCTCTACTGTGCACTACTTCTGAGTTCAACAAAGCTATTGTATATTGGTTTAATTTCTTTCGTAATTAATCAATAAAGGCTCAGTTGTCGGAAGCTCGACTATCGGGAGGTTCAACTGTCGGTGTATCGAAAATGATGTACTTACATATAAAAACTACTAATTATAATTATTTGAAATTTCTTTTTTCTTTCATCTTTTTCTCAAAACGGTTTCATATAATTACATAAATGAAAGTAGATGATTATGTGTTTTCATTTTCGAAGATCAATAATTATCAATAATCAGACTTATTTCCTTTGTTCACATAACTATAATAAACTCGATAAGAGAAATAGAAAATATTAGTTCTATTTTTGACATGGTCTCTGTTGCATGTTGGTAAAGATTATGACAAGGGTAAGAAAAGATAAGCTAACTTAGAGGCTGTCCTCTGTCAATACTTAAAAAAATATTGCAAAGTTTAAAGAACTAACTGAAACTTTTATCCGTTTCATGTGATGATATTAAAATGGTCATGTTTTCATGATGATTTCTTAAATGAGACGAATTTTCTAATATTTATCAAATAAAATTGCTAGTATATGATATGTTATTCAGAAATATTTCCATATATATGATAACGTTTTTTAATAATGAAGTGTGTGCCATGTCCTCATGGTTCTTCGTTGTGGGCGAACTATGTTCTTATGATAGAGAAAAAAATAAAGAAATCATATATATTAAACGGTGATTAATAATTAGACATATGAATAGGAAGACTGTGGCTACAAGAAAAATAAGTGTACATTTGGTTGTAAGTGTTTACATTAATACATTTAGTGCATACCGAAAACGATGAGAAGAAAAGAAAAAAGAATTTTCAAGACTAGAAGCAGAACGATCGATAGAATAAATTTATAATGATAATAATTCAGATGAAGCAATGAACATGGTGAAATAAAGAAAACTAATGGTTATAGAAGAAGTTTGTAATCCTTTTTGATCATTCTTTTCTTTGTCTATAAATCGTCTTTTTATTTTAGTAGCAGAGAATTATGGTAATACTCATAAGTATATGACAAGTGCATCTTGTATTGAAGACAGTCACATCAAATTGATGGATTTGTTTTGAGAACAATAGAGTTGCTTTTAGATTAATGTGCTTTGTAAATTTGTTTATTCATTTGTATTTTCGTAGATTCGAACATTGATCATTTATTGCATCGTACAAATCATGACTGGTTCTCAATAAAATAGAATAGATTTTAAAAAAAACACTTGATAATATAGTCTTATATTAGCATTATACAATCGATAAACCATAGCATCATTCAACATTCAAATTGATGAAAAATGTTTAAATATTGTCAAGTTTTTCGAATGTCGGATTCTTTATGAAAAAGTCGTGACATGAATGACAGATTACGACAAAGAAGAGTTCAAAGCTATTTAATTTCTTCGCAACAACAGATGAAATACCAACAATAACTATAATTGAAGAATGACAAGAGCGACTTAATAATGAAAGAATACCAAAAAAAAGTTCTGTAGAAATTTATTAGTTGGTTTTACACTAAAGCTTAAGAAATTAATCAAGTAATCATGTCTTTAAGTTGGTCAATTAGATTAGAGATGACAGTTCTGGAGGATCAATTGGCGGAAGAAGACACATGAATGGAGAGATTATCAGCAAATAGATGTTTTCAGTATAATTTATAAATAATATTCAAAATATCATAATGGTATTCTATGAAGATAACCAGTTGCATGCAGGATCATTGTAGGACTACATTATAAAGAAAAAAAATTAGTTTATATTGTACTATTCACAGTTATACATGCTAATAATCTAGATAGGTACTTTCTCGGTTACGCTACCAAATATATAGATAATTTAATTAATGAAGTTTCGAAATCAAATCATTGAATTATAATTGGTTAGATCCTGTTTTAAAGTCAATAGAAAGGCCAGATACAACCATATTAACCGATAAATTTTGTCTAATTTTATCATGTATTAGAACTAATATCATTAGTATATTCTGTTCTGGATGAAATTCAATTTCTTCATTCAGCGAAATATCAATTATCATTGAACTATTAATGAAGATATGTAACAAAGAGCTTTTTGTATAATTTTGAGAAATATGATAAAAGCAAAATTCGAGACATGTGGTTTGTATGAATGATATTTGTCTTAGTTTTTGGAAACAAAATAATTAGTCAAAAAAAAACAGATGAAATCAATGGTAAGTTAAACGATTATTAAATTAATAAATTGAATGAATGATCAGATAAATTACTGGAATAGTCCGTTAGTGATGCATCATGTTTGTTAATTAATTTAAGGATCAATAAATAAAATTTACTAACACTTAATTAAATCAAAGGATAAGTATAGAAGTTCAACTATATTATAATGAGATTCACTTCTCATTTCTTCCTTTCTTTGTTCTCTTGTACTATGTAGTATATATACTACGTACGAAATACAGCTATTAGATACTCTGCTTCTATCCTTACCTCCTAATTCAACTTAGATCCGACGAGTGAGAAAAGATGGACGTGTTTCAAGTTGGTCAATATAGATATGATGTATCAAATGAAGATGATCTGAAAGCAAATTATGAAATAAGTGGAAACAAAAGACTTATCAAAACAAGAAATCAAAATATTAGGTTAACAAGACTACATCTGATGATGTTGAAGGAATAGAAGCATTTAATTGAAAATGAATGGTCAAAATATTATATGAACCTAGGATCTTTAGTTCTCAAAAAATCCTCAATTTTCAGACCCAATTAGCGATTTGACGTAGGTGGCTGGTACGGTGAAAATGTTATGACAGCAAAGAATATTATTCAGTTGCAATTTTCATCAACTGATAAAGCTTGCTGAGTTCTACTTGATACATAAATTATGTTTGTTGAAACGTTTTGATAGGCCAATCGGCTCAGGAAATACAAGAGAACAGGACAAATATGGGTGGTAAAATAGCGATATCTTGAAAATAGAGAACGTAATTCAGATCGATTTTTTACCATTGAAGAAACCTCATCAAATTCTTCTTGGAACATGAATATTTTTGTTGGAACATGTTTGTTGTCGAATCGATCCAAAAATTACTGTTTGTATAAATTGATTCAATGAGAGAAAAACAGGTATTTGACGCTTTTCTTTGTAAATAAAAGATATATCGAAGAACAGTGTTCACCATGTAATGGAGCTCTTGAAGATGTACTTGGAACATATGAAAGGAGTATTGAAACAGTTTTATGGACAAATCGACTCTAAAACAGGTCGAAACTGGGCTTAACCTACTGTGCGTGAACATTTTAAGTTTCATATGTGGTCGAATGGGTCATAACTTTTCTTTAATCTTCAATGGGTTCTGTGAAAATATCAAATCCTCTTTTCCATTGAATATTCAGCTCTATTCTAGATGAGTGAATCTAACTCCACTTCGGAGCCTTTGTTTCCATTAACCTATCTAGAGTACGTATACAATTTCGCGTATGGCTCCCATATGCACCCTAATATTTTAAGTGGTCGACGAAAAATTCACCCAGTAGAATCTATTCCAGGAATATTGGAAGGATGATAGTTGACGTTCGACTTTCGTGGTATTCCTGCGGTTGAACCATGCTTTGGGAATATTAAAGAAAATCATGATGCTGAAACTCACGGAGTTCTACATAAAATGATCAGTAAAGAATTTAAACATTTAATGGCAACTGAAGGAGGAAGTGGAGTAGACGCAAATGGATATATACCGAAAAAAGTCAATGTGCATGCATACGATGGTCGTATAATTGAAGCTTACGCATTAGTAGTTCAACAGACAAGTCCAGCCATATTGTATCACCATGCGCTACCCAGCAACCGTTATATTGGTCTTCTACGTAGTGGCGCAACACACCACAATATTCATCCATTATATATAGAATACTTACAATCTCTACCTTCGATCGAACGTAACAAACCTGTCTTGGTACTAGTTATTATTGAAACACTAATGCTAATTACATTATTGGCACCAATTTGGATACCTGTAATAATTTATTACTTATGTACACGTCAAAACGCACAAGCTCGAGCATTCTTTTTTACACTGCTTATGACCAATATGTGGCGCATCTATCGTTTTTTTGGCAGAAAAAGGGCTATTCAACCTTATTATTCTGCACCGTTTCCTCGAGAAAGCACACATTTCAAAGCGAACACAGAAACATTTCGTGCTAAAGTTCAGATCGATGAGCAAACTTTATCGGATACTGTGTCAGACATCTCATCGGAACCAATTTTATCACCAACGTCTACCCCACTAATCAAACAACGAAAGATTAATCAAAGTTTGGTCGAAGAAGCTCAAGAATGGTATACCGAATAACAAAAATATTGTCTAGATCGATATTGAACTTGCTGTCAATATGAACTTCTCTATGATAACAAAGTTTGATTGAAAATTGTGTGTTAACTTGTTACAATTGAAGAACATAGACTGCTTCGACCTTTTTTATCAAAACGCAAATACTTGTGATTTTCCTTTGCTAGTTGAAGTCAGACACTGAAATTTTCCATTTAAGTAATAAAGAGAAATTAATGATAAAAAGACTTTGATTGCATTGACTCTCTGTGGCTGTCATTACTATAAAACTCGAAAGGAAATAGAAAACGATATGATTCACTGTTTGATTTGACTAAGTTCCTCAATTTAGATATTCCAAGAAATTAGAGTTTGTGGACTGACATATTAGTTCAATAAATTAACAAACGATATTCATTGATCTTTTCACTTGATACTTCTGCAAAATGTCCTGTAAATCATGATCACTGTATAAACCACCAACAAAAGAATTAATCTAATGAAAAAACAGATCGATCGGTATTTCATAAATACAAATGAATCTATTTTTCTAAATTTTTACTGTTTCAGTATATCAAGTTTTTGTCGAAGTAAAATAGTTTTTTTCTCTGATAATTCCATAATATTAATGAATAAAAATAAATACAGATCTTTGTTCTCGTACGTCTTTTGTGCGATTTATTAAAATAGAACTACGCTTTGCAGTACTTCGCTACAATAAATCATTAGTATAAGAAACAAAAAAAAATAAAATAAATGGAAAGTCAAGTGGTGGTCAAAAGTAACAAGAAATCTGTAAAGAAGGGCATACTTTTATTTTCTTTTTATGAAGTTCGAAACTACAGTACAAAGATGTCATTCTAAATTCATTCGATAGAGAATTTTTCTCACTATCAAGCTGCTAACAAAAATCAGAAAAAGACTAACAGCTACTCAATTGTACAATTACGATCGAGAAACAGAACAAAATTGATTAACAACGGTTTTTTTTTCTAGAAACCAGTTATCTAGAATTTTGACATATATTACAAAATATTTGAGGAGTTCTTCATCACTCGCTGTTTTGGAGTTTGGGAAAAAAATCTGGAAGAGAAATTTTTGAAATAAGAACTCGAAAAAATCATAAAGAACTCTTTTCTGATAAGTCCACACCATTGTTTATTTTTAATTGAAAATACTTCAAAGATTTGCGTTGTTTACTTGAAATGTGACGGCGTTTTATTAAGGATTAAAGTCGATGTTCGAAGATATTATAATGAATCTTTTATAGAATGCCTCTGACTTTTGAAATCACGTACTCCGAAAGTACATCCAAAGAAATAGTGCCAAGTGTGAGTTCTAAGGTACTTGCATACGATCGACACTATCAGAAGCCTAAAAAGGTCTTCAAGTCGTATTACATGCACTTCTCTGTATATTGATGCTAAATTCTTAACATTTAATATCGAACTTGGATAGACACAGGCTTATACGAATCATTAGATATCCAGAGAAAATGACAAACAATCGCAACTGAACAATTGAGCGACTATCAGTCTTTCTTAATGCTTGCCAACAAGTACAACTTATTTGAAAAATCAAGTCGACTATGTCGTAGCAAGAAAAATTCTCTATCCAATGAGCTTAAAATGAAGCCTTTGAACTGTACCATTGGTTTTCATTAAAAAAAATTGAAGTATCCAATTATTTATGGACCACCGGTAGTATTAATAATCACAAAATGAAATATAAAAATATATTTGATCTATATCACACTTTGAAAAAGATGATACTGGACGAAAAAATAGTTTCATGAGATCAGTTGGTGTGTTCCATTACATCCTATGGTATTAATAATGTATTCCATCCCATCCAATTGAATTCCATGCAATAATTCGTCTCGTATGAAGAATTTTCAAAATTTGAATTGACTTTCATCATTTGTGCCATTATGATGCCATATCTCTTAACATAATGTTTATTAATAAAACAATATTCATAGAAAACAAAGGACATATTATTTTAGAATAATAGTGATGTCTCGCTATGTTTATCAGGAATGAAATTAAGTTATACAATAATGAAAATTACATGACAGCGATGTAACAAGCATGAACATGAATATATGATTACATCTTGAATATGTTCATATAATATTATTTAGTCGAAAATGTTACTTGTTATAGTTTTTCAAACTATTTAAAAATATTCTTGTGCATACAAACCAGTATAAACGGCTTCTATAACATTTATTTGTTATTGGCACATAAATAACTAGACGATCAACTATACTCTTGCAATGGACTTCACATAGGATTAATAGTGAATAACCATACATTGTCTCAATATGAATTCGATAAAACATATGAAATTTGTTTTGTATCATAGGTGTCTGTTGTATAATTTAAACATTGAAATGGCATTGAAGTAGATATTTCACACAATGTATTAGGTGTTAATGAAAAAAGCGAAATATATTACTATTACTAACTTGAGGAACATTTATTAAAATTAAAAAAGAAAAGAAAAACTCTTATAATTTCAATTGGTTCAATATTCTTGTCATTGATGAGGATATTTACTGCCTGCAGTTGTTGTCTTATTCATGGTAACTATTATTTACATAAACCAAAAAAATTATTATTTAGAAAATTCTCATTTGATGTTCACGTATCTGAAAAAAAAGATTGTTTTCATATACTTAATGAATACAAATGGAGTAATATATTAAAATATTAATAAAGATCATTCTAAGTTATGTTATTTCATTGGATTTTTTTCTCAAATATAAATCATATCTCGAAAACAGTTTCATCAAAAGATAATGAAATTATAAACTCTTATTTATCTATTAATTATATCGGGAAGTTATCGTTGTTATTATGATTATTCTTGTTTTATTGACAGTCAAAATAATCGAAATGATTTCAATATCTAGTGCTCATAAATCAAACACCATAATAATACTAATAGTAATTATTATTGATAATGAACAAATTGTTTTCTTCGTCACTCTTACACTAATTGCGGTGAATTTCGTTGATAGCTAACTAGAATGAAAATATATTTAAAAAATTTCTATAGTCCCTTTCATGAAAAATGATGATTGAGATTTACACATTTTAAATCAATATCATAAAAAGAACAAGAATTATTAGAAAAAAAAAACACTTTATTCCTATTCAATGAAGTATTCTTCATTTTACGCATCCCATTCATAAATATTGTGAAACACTAGTCTTATGTATCAAAGGATTTTGGAACATTACGATAAATGAATATAACTAATAATTAACGTGATATTTTATGTCGTTTCCTGGAATTTGTCATGTAAATAATGCATAAAATTGATTTGATATTGGATTCAAGATTCAAAATTTGTGATGAACTTGTCTAAGAACTATTTATCAGAGATGATGATCAGATATCAAAGTGGTTTAGTTTATGACTACGCATTGATACTATGGATAAAACCGTTTTTCATTCAGAAATTATCAAGAATGAATTTAAAAACCGAAGTTATTCATTGTAGAAGAGATTGCATCCATTGATATGAAGACTATAATCGTAACGAAAATGATATGTGAACTGATTAGTGTGCATTCAGATTTGAATTTCAATTTTCATCGAATAAAACTATACGAAATGATATGCAAATAAGATTTGTTTTTATATTTATAGATGTAATTCAAAATATATATTATGATGACATTGAAAAAAAGCGACAGAAAGAGAGAGATAAAAGATTATTGATTTAGTGTCTTGCTTTTTTTATTTGTGTAGAGATGGATCATCTAATGTCAATCTTTTGTTATTCGTTGTGAGTAAACATACAAAGAAAACAAGCTTAATTTCAAATTTAATCAAATTATAAGTTAGTTATTTTTTTTTAAAAAGATTTTAGAGAAAGAAAAATTCTTTTTCTCTTTTCATTAATTTTATTTTAATGCAGAAAATCAGCTTTGAATAAAATCAATTGGTCTTCGAATATCTAATTTATGAAATATGTATGAAATTCCGGAATAGTAATCAGTAATGTGTATCACGTCAAAGAAAAGCGCAATATTAAGTAGAATCAATATTATGTTTTAGTTTTTATTTACTAATCAAAAGTTTTTTCGCAGATCGATTCCATTTAGTAATATATCTTATGAATATAATGCTGAAGGCTAACATATTATCAAGAAAAGAATTTATCAACCGACGTCTTTACTTGATGTTTTATGAATAATCTCTACATATTATTTATTAAAAAAGAAGAAAGCTTGTTATTCCCATTGTTGTTTCTCAATAATTGTAAAGAATAAAAATTTGTAAAACAATATAAATACAATGAAAAATTTTTACTAATAGTTTTGATAATAACACTAGATTATAAAATAGCATTCTACAGTTAATTTTAGTTTAGTTTTAAGGTTTGATTTTAAAATTTCTGACACAATTCTATCCACAAGAAAAATAATACAAGCTTAAAAAGAATAATATGAAATAGATTTTGATTAATAGACATAACAGTTATAACTGTGACTATTTTCATAATCTGTTGATAATCTCATTGAGTACATTTCATATCGAAACTTAACATATTATTTCCTATTATGAAAGTATGTGAAAGAACAATATTGAAAAAGAACATTCCTGAAAATGATTTTATTTTGTTTCGTTTCGTTTTATGTATATACTCTATGAACTTTGCTCTTTCAAAATAAAATGTCAAAGTCAATACGATATTGTATTGTTAAGAAATAGATTTTGATATTCTTCCTAAGACTTTTACGTCGTTTATTAATTAAAAAAAGAAATAAAAATATTCATCAACAAGAATTAAATAAATTCATTCATTCATTATTAATTAGAATCTAATTCAATAATAGCAGCTTTTATTCTTCTTTGTAATTATCACCTTCGAAATGAGTATTTTTCAGATTATCTCGCAACATAACATTATGATTATCTTCTTCTTCTCTTGAGTAATTTTCCTAAGTTAAGGTTGATCATATAGAATAATTAATTTATTTTATCAAAATACAATTGGAAGGATAAGT